CAAATAATTACATGGGAAAGGCCATGGCACAGGTGAAACTGTGTAGTACCCCCATTTCCCCATTTCCCCTGTCACCAGAACACTAACTGCAGGTGTAAACTGGCCCACTTTGTTGCATGTGCCGTTTGTTGTTAACGTCTGTGGTTCCACCTCCTCTGCTCCTGAACCTCCTGAAACTCCTGATGGTGATGATGATGGTGATGGTGATGGCGATTGTTGTTGTGGCTAACTGGAGCTGACTAACTGTCTCATTGGTTAAAAGGCCTTGGCCAACGTCCTCGGCCAACCCACCGCCCCTTTTTCCCCCTTCGAATCTCCATCATCACGTGCTTCAAACTCCAAGGGACTGGAAGCTATCTAATCAGAAATGCAATTATAAGGGCAAATGGCATTGCCCTCGGAGCTGCAGGAATGGAATAGTAGTGCTGGGGAATTTTTACATATTGCTATCATAACTACATCTATATTAAAACTGAGATATTACTTATGATTACCAATAACTAAAATATATTAAAAATTTATATATGATTTAAAAAACATTTACATGGAAAAATACAAACTTAAATTTGACTAAAATGGTAAAAATACCCAACAATACAAATCAAGGATATATAAACGAATATGTGAATCAATTATTTTTTGACAGCTATAAGACGTAGCACGATCGTCTAATATTTTTACATTGATCAGGTATAAATAATTAGCGTTATGTCTAAATTTCATTTTCATGTTAGTTTCTTAAAAATTGCTAAAATTGTTCTGAAGTGCTGTATTGTTAGAAACTTGCTCTGCGAATAAAAAGACAAATGTTAAATGTTTAATTCGATACCTTTTAAACTGAGCTTGTTAAATATATGCAGACAACTGTAAGACATTACGTATATACCCTGTGAGTTCGTAAATGCCTACTATAACAACTTATCATCGTTAGACCAAAATAACAATAACCTCTGTATTAAAATGAAAATCAATAAGTAATAATTATTCTTTAAGTTATTCCTAAAACAACTGAAGGATTTTGAATCTTGAGATTGGGCATAGCCAGACATTCTTTAACTTTTAGCAATCCAAGTGCGAGTTTAATGTCCTGGTGTGTGCCACATTTGCATTGTCTTCGTTTGTTTACGCGGTGATGGGGACATCGCTGCTGTCGTCATAGTCTCCGTCTCCTCGTAGGGCCATTGTCCGGATTCCGGACCCCGTACTACGGACCCCGGACCCCGGACCCTGGACTCCGGACTCATTGTTAGCCCTTTGTTTTTGCGCCTCGCGTGTCTAATAAAAGCGCATCACAATGTGGGTCATTGTACGACTACACAGGCCAGTCGGCATCATATGGCTTTGCATTTGTCAGCAGCATGCAACTGCTGCAACATCAACACATAAAGCGCTGCTAATTGCAAACACACACATGCAGCACAATCGGCAAACTGCAGAGAGCGAAATATTGATATTACTCGATATTATCCATTTGTAAATAATATTTTAAGTCCACAGAATTTTAATTATGCATATATATTCAGTGTTCTGCTCTTAAAAAGTTGTTCTTAAATTTAAAATCCCTGAATTTAATGTTGGTTGGTTGAAAGTGCTCATAATAAAAGTCAATTAAAGAAATGAAGTCAATAAAAAAACTTAAGAAGTATTTATTTATTGTACATATAGGGACTTACAATATTAAGGTATAAAGATTATACATTAATTCTCTGCAACTTAAAATTTAATTTCTTTAGATTTGGATCATGTTAAATATAACTCAATGGAAGTATTTTAGTTTTTATCGAAATAAAATTCGATATTAAGGTTTTCAGTGTCGTCTTCTTGCTTGCCACATGACTGTAAAGCCTGCAAAGAGAGATGAGAAGGGAAGAACTATAGAAAGTGTGTCAGCCATGGTAAATCGATAAGGAATCCTGAATAATTAATTCTTGGATTAATTGGGATTTCCCCAAAGAAATTTCTGCACCACAATTGAACGTCACATACTTTTCGGCTGCTGTGGGCATTAAATGCCTAGCTCAAAAGTAGGCTAGGCAAATATGCAGAACAATCCATCTACAGATATCTACAAGTATCAATCAGTAAGTATACATAATGTAATGTAAATATAATATTTCTAGCAATCTAAAAACATATACAAATTAATTATTTCATCGCTGTGAATGTGAACTACCACAAATATCTACTAAAATCGCATTTCGTACACTAAAACATAAGATATTGTTTTCGTGATCGTTAGGATCACCCTTACAAAACACAAAAACAAAGAACTTTATTATGTGATGTCATAAAAAAATTGAAACACCTACATAAACGCCTTTCATAGTATATGTTACACTTTAATAGCTGAAAAATTTACCGAAAAATTAATCTGAGAATCTATATAATATGAAATACACCTTAGCATCTTCCTCCCCAAGCAGGACCCAGATTAAGACGGCACCATTTATCACCTGAAAATGCTAGGTTAGAATCAAGGACACAATACTGAATGGAGTAGAACTTACGGGGATTTGGGTTTGGAATCGGGAACCTCGGTCTCTCCCAAGGTTTCTTTTGCTTATTCCACGGCCATTCCCAAGAGTTGACCAACCCAACTATGCAAACAAGAACCAAGATTAATGTAAGTGCCTTCATTTCTGTGTGGTGATACTCAAGCTAATCGTCTTTTTATAGGTCTAAAAGTTGGCTAAAGGATTTGGCAAGGGGTATTATAAAATTACAAATGATACGGTTCCGGTTTGTCACAGTTTTGTTATATCCACTGTATTAAAGACCCTTTGACCTATTTACTTCTGACTATTTAGAAAAAAACTGCATCTCAACCGTTAAAGCCCTTTTGCAACTGTATGACATGAATGTAGAATTTACTCCAATATAAGATATGGTTTTTTGGCTTGCAAAATCTTCTTTTTATTTCCGTTCCACTCTACTCATATACCATTTTTCCACTTTGGAACCCATGACCAATATAGTCAATTGTTTTAAGTCGAAGATTCTATTCGACTTCATGGTCTTACGTAACATTGACTTATTGGATTATAAATGGTGGAGAGTACATATTGAATATGTCAAGGCCTTTCAATGTTTCGTTTTTGCCACGTAGTCCAAAAATGTAGATCTTTACTAACCCGCATTCCCTGTCAGACCTAACCCAGAGCTGGGAGCCCCAGCAAATCACCATTCAATGACCATAATATGTCTTCTTTGCCCGGGAACTGACATTAACATGCTGGGGTAATCACTGTGCTGCAGGCCATGGAAATGATGGAGGCATAGGTATGGTTGCAGTCCGATGGTCCGGTAACCGCAGCTGAAAGAGTGAAAGGCCGGCCAAGAACTTGCAGCTGGTTTCTGCTCTGATCTGGTCTCTGGATTGCTAACCTGATTCAATGAGTCTAAAAATCTATCACTTCCTCGGCCTTCCAATTTTTTGAGCTGTATGTGGGCCTTTCTTTTCGCCACATTTTTGCCAACCAAAAAGCAAAACTTGATTGACCAGCAGCCAACCTTTTTCTTGCGTGGCAATACTTTCTAAAGGCTCAACCACCACCCGCAACTGTTTTATTACAAATTGGAAATACCTCTGATAAGCGCCAAAGAAAAACATGTTTTGCATATGCTACAGGACTAACAATTTCCTAACTTAATTATCGTATCACCTTAATCTTCAACGGAGACACGACTCTGGGATTTTTAAAAATACTTACCAAATCAGAAGTGTTTCTACGAGTATGCACACCTTTCAGTGGTTTCTATAGAAAAAATCTTGCAGTAAAACCATTTTTCGCCAAGTTTAAGTCTTATATTTATTATGTTATCTAAATAGATGAGTAAACCATTAAAACGTATAGCTAAAATTTGGTATTTATTATTTCTGTAAACTTTATTGGTAATCTGTCATGTAGGCTGTGAAAATAGGTTTTTGAAACGGTAGAAAGAGTCTTTCTAATATTATGTTCTTTATATAAATTATATAGCCGTGACGCTAAGTTTAATAGCAAACTTACCTCGGCCTAATTCAATTTATTTAAATCTTTATAAAGTTTGGGCGTGACAAAACTAATTTACTTGTTAATTTGCGGTTACATAATAAACTATAACTATAAAAAGGGGGCAAGTGCAAAAATCAGTACAAAAATGAAGCCACAGCTGTTGCTTGTAGTGGTCCTCCTTTGCCTGGTGGGAATGGTCCCATCGGCCAAACCGCCAAAGAAAAATATCGAGATTTGGATTAGGCCGAAACCTTTCCCCGACAGACCACCACCACCTTATTAGGATCAGCACATCCGCACCTGTTCTTGTCACCGTAAGTGCTTTCCAATCGAGTATCCAATCAAATAGTCTTATCCCAGTTATTCCCAGGTGACAAATGGTCTCAACTTGATTGGAGCAAAAGGGGTTCAAATGATGTATAACTTACAACCACATCATCATTGAGAAATAAATGGCCCAAAAAATTGTAATAACTTTTGGTTTTATTTACTTTAACCATACTTTTAAAATGTATTTATTTCCTTTCATGCCTTATACCTTTTTTAGAAACTTAAAAAATCAATTCACTCACTTTTAATTGGCCAATTTGGTAAGAAATTTTAATAGTAATCTCATTTGGTCTTTCTAAATAATAGTTTCAAGTAATTCGTGCATTCGGTTCCTGCTTCTGACATAAAGCTCTTGAAAAATATACTTTAAAGCCATTATTAAATGTTGTGAAGTAGAAATGTTGTTGAGTATAAAACCACTTACCTAATTCCAAATTTTTATTACCAATTTTTTTTTACACTCAGAACCTAGTCAAATTATAGATATTTTCTCTACGACTAACTGGTATAATAAAATAAGTTCCTTATATATATATATTGCCGTGACGCTAAGTTTAATAGCAAACTAACCTCGGCCTAATTTAATATATTTAAAACTTTATAAAGTTTAGGCGTGACAAAACTAATGTACCTGTTAATTTGCGCTTACATAATAAATTACAACTATAAAAAGGGGCAAGTGCAAATATCAGTACAATAATGAAGCCACAGCTGTTGCTTGTAGTGGTCCTCCTTTGCCTGGTGGGAATGGTCCCATCGGCCAAACCGCCAAAGAAAAATATCGAGATTTGGATTAGGCCGAAACCCTACCCCGACAGACCACCACCACCTTATTAGGATCAGCACATCCGCAGCTGTTCTTGTCACCGTAAGTGCTTTCCAATCGAGTGTCCAATCAAATTGTCTTATCCCAGTTAATCCCAGGTGACAAATGGTCTCATCTTGATTGGAGCAAAAGGGGTTCAAATGATGTATAACTTACAACCACATCATCATTGAGAAATAAATGGCCTAAAAAATTTTAATAACATTTGGTTTTATTTTGCCAATTTTTTTTTTACACTCAGAACCTAGTCGAATTATAGTTCTTTACTCTACGACTAACTGGTATAATAAAATAAAAGCATTTCAATTTTGCATCGAAACGTATCAAGGCAAATTTAACATTTTTATACCCGTTACTCGTAGAGTAAAAGGGTATACTAGATTCGTCGGAAAGTATGTAACAGGCAGAAGGAAGCGTTTCCGACCCCATAAAGTATATATATTCTTGATCAGGATCACTAGCCGAGTCGATCTAGCCATGTCCGTCTGTCCGTCTGTCCGTCTGTCCGGATGAACGCTGAGATCTCGGAAACTATGGGAGCTAGGCTATTGAGATTTGGCGTGCAGATTCCTGAGCTTCCTACGCAGCGCAAGTTTGTTTCAGTAGACTGCCACGCCCACTCTAACGCCCACAAACCGCCCAAAACTGTGTCTCCTACAGTTTTGATGCTAGATAAAAAATTTTAACTGAAATGTAATGTTCTCATCAATACCTATCGATTGACCCAAAAAAATTTGCCACGCCCACTTTAACGCCCACAAACCGCAAAACCCTGTGACGCCCACAATTTTCATGCTAGATAAAAAATTTTTACTGAAATGTATTGGTCTCGTCAATACCTATCGATTGATCCAAAAAAAAATTTGCCACGCCCACTTTAACGCCCATAACGCTTAAATCTGTATACCGCCGGTAGGTGGCGCATTTTAATCTCGCTTTGCTGCTTGCATATCTCCATTTAGCTGAGTAACGGGTATCTGATAGTCGAGGTACTCGACTATAGCGTTCTCCCTTGTTTCTATGGTGATTATCGATTTTGAAATAAAAGAAGAAGTTTTTTAATGTGCTGGGGCACGCCTTTGTTTTAAGAAGACACATTTCAGCACCCGTAAAAGAGTGTATTGCATTCAAATCGAAATTATTATCACCAACTCATGAATGTTAAGAAACAAACAATGCAAGCCACCACAAATATATTTTGCTTACGCTTGATATACCCAATAAGATTTTATAAAATGTTCAAAATCGTTTTAAACAAATTAAGTTATAACTCAAAAAGGTTGTATTCTTTAACACGCCGTTGGTAACCTTTAATAGCGTTTTGCCGGTACTAGCCTCTTTAATATAATTTGTGAAAAGTAATTAGTATTTTTCGCAATGAAAACTGAATTGGACATGTTGACATAACCATTTAAAAGTCGAACGAGTTTGACCCTGTATTAATATTTTGAGTAGGTGCCTTAAAAAGTAATGCCGTGGTGTATCTAATTCATTTTCCATCTGTGAAAATCTCATATCTCGTATTAAAACAACAACGAAGTTCCATCTACTGCCACTTTTGGTATTGGTGCTCCTTAGCCTGGCTGAAGGAAGACGAAAGAAGAGGGAAATCGAAATTTGGGTACGACCAGATCAGCCGCCAGTTAGCTGTCCTTATGAAAATTGTCCATATTCACAAAATTAAACTGTACTACGGCATCTTTTATAAAACTATTTTAAATATTTTCATTTTAATTCATTTAAATTACTGCTGGCAATTACTTTATTTAGTTTTTAAGAACGATTTACCTAGTGTTCTTTTAATGTTTATAAAATCTAGAAAACTTCTTTAAATTGGTTGACTGGTGCTAAGTGTGCATTGCTTGAGATATATACTTTTTACAAAACTTTCCTCCCCAAATTTAGCATGCTACGAACCGCAAAACTTTTCGCAAAAGTTGTCCGTGCTGTCGAAGAATAAGTTGCCGCCACGCCCAGTTATACTCTCATTATCTTGGCATGTAATTCCCAGCCCCTTCCCTCAGTCCTACGAATATCCCCACATGTGTGTCAGTTTTGTCGCTCGCGGACAATGGCAGAAGTTTCTGTTTCGGCTCGATAAAGTATCTGTTAGATACAATTTACAATATTTTCCGCTCCGCCTCGTCCTGCACGCCAAGTGAAAGTTTCGGCAGCAAAGTATGGCTTTAATGATAATGACTTTAGCTTCGGCAAAAAGTAGCGCAAAGTTTAGAATACGCCAACGCAACGCTTTTGGGGATTTCACTCGCTGGAGAACTCCGTGTGGTTTGAAGAAGTTTTCCCCTCGCCCTCGTATGCGAAATAGACCGAGTTAGCCTGGGTGGGTGTGTGTTAACTTTTCCTACGTGTTGGCCATATGAAACTGATAAGGAAAGGCAGCTGCAGGAGCCGCTAAGTGGGACAAGGCCAGGCTGACTAATGCGGAATTTGAATGGGATGTAATTCGATATCAATGATGCTGCAGTTTCATGTAGCTACTAGCTGGGCCTGGAACTAGACTAACTCTAGGGCCTGCAGATCGTGTCCCAGCATTGCCAGCGATTTACTTTTATCACAATCGCTGCAACAACTTCGGACAATGTCGGCGATTTATTGCATCAGCTCCAACTAACAACTCGGCGGCCGACAGACACTTGGTTACGTTGTAATCGGCCAGAGCTGCAGATACAGATACCTGGCCACAACAACAACAAACAAGCATCCTCAGCAGCCCGTAGCTACCAAAAACCCAATTTCCAGTTCTTTTTCCCGATCCCGATCCCTGTATCTCATCAACGCGACTAATCTGCACTGTGCAAAAAAGGTGTAGATTTAGGTAGATAACTAATTAAGCCTGTAACAATGCCATATTTGTTATGACTTTATTTTCCAGTTCAGCAGTTACCAATCCTACCTACCAAGTCTGGTACTTTATTGTAATTTTCAACTTTAGTTTCATTTTTTGTGGCTTTCATTCGATATTTTCATATTACAATTAGTAGTAATCTATCTAGAGATGTCAAGAAATGTTTAAAAATGTATAGAACTTAGTCTGGTACTATATTGAAATAGTTAGTTAGTTAGTTAGTTAACTTTGTTGTGGTTTTCTCTCGATATTTTCATATATTAGCATTTGTAGTAATCTATCTAGAGATGTCAACCTAGTTGGTGCTACGATTTTTCCCCGGTGCATCTGCAGTTGCTGTTGTCAACTTCTTTGTTGTCGTCGTCGTCATCTCCTCCTCATCAACATCAGTGGAGCGCGGCAAAAGTCTTCTCCCAGCATTGGCCAAAGTTTCGACTGCAGTCCCAGGCTGTTAAGAGTTCAACTCGTGATGTTTAAGTGGTTTAAGCCAAGGTAACGATTTCCTCATTGGTCTACAATTCTCCAGCTCAGCTCGCCTGTGCTGTTGTTGCCGGCGACATTCTGTCATGCCACGATCACGAACCATTCGTAACACATTTGTTGCAATTTTCGTCGCTATTTGTTAAGGTTCAGAAGAGGTTGCAACTTGCAACCAAAGGGACACTCGTCGTTGTAAAATATGTACTAAACGGCAGGATAAAACGGTTTCTTGGCAGTTGATGCGAAGTGTCTGCACCCCGAAGAGCATTTTATTGGCACTTGAATCCTAATATAATTATTTACAAATGATTATGGAAGTATTATTCGTGTTTGTATTGGCTATAGTGACTTATTCATAGAAAATATTTTCAGTTTCGTAAGTGTGTTAAATTCTTTTAAGAGTAAGGTAAGGCATATCTAATTTTTTTTCCACCTGATATAATCTAAACTTTGGCATAATTACAAGTCTTAACAATCTTAACAAATCTTTTAAAAAGGTTAAAGACCGTTTTCTCGTTGTCAACTTAACTTTTGTCATTGATTTAAATATGTGTTTCCTTTCAAAATGACTAAGGGCAGGTTTCTCCAGTGCCGGTTAACATTCTTATTCTCATATTATGTTAAATTAGTAACAAATAATGTAAGATTCTAACCATTTTCTAGAACTATTATCCCAATCGCCATAACATTTTATACCCTCACTTATTGTTAAAACTAAATTTGCAGAGATTTAAACCCATTACACAAATCGGCATCGAAAGGTGTTAATGGCCGCCTGCTTTAGCGGTTGTCCAAATTGCACTCGCATTAAATTCACTTCCGTTAGAGGAGCACCTACTTCCGGTTCAGAGGGAGATGCCAGCGGGGCAGGTGGGTGGAACAGGTGTAAACTGTGACGCCGCCAACGGGCGACACATTTGGCAGCTATTCAAGTGTGATAACAACAATGTGCCAAGTCCGCAGGAAAGGGACACGGCGAAGGATAACAAAGGGAGCGAGCGAGATGGGATGGGGCGGAGTAAATCAAATTGAATAATTGTTACATGCAGAGCGAGGGAGATGGCCAGATGGCAAGAAAGAGACAGCTGGCAGGGACATATGATCGAGGCAGCAGCGGCGGCAAAAACAAACGCAGCCTAACAAGCCTAGGCAACAATAACAATAACACCGAAAGGACAATCGCCCATTCGATGGTCCTTTGCACTGAGAAAAATTTGGGGTGCAGCAACATAGTCCTTTGAAATAACGCCCAGTGAAACAACGCCCGTCGACATTACGCCCATATTTAGTTTAATTGCATTTTCTCTTTGGTTTCATTGGGCGTTATTTCACTAGTCACTATTATATTATGATATATAATGATACAAATTATATTGTATATTGACTGACATCATCATCTGTTTTTTATACACATTATCAGATATTGAAAATTGGTATACCCACTTAAAATCCAAAAACCAAAAATATTTTCTCAGTGTTTCATTCCATTCCGCTGCGATGAGAAGCGCTGCTATGCGACTTCAATTCAATCAATTGAACGTGCCACGAATGGTTAGCAATAACAAAATACACTCTACAGGGCTGAGGGGGTGGTAATGGGCGAACAAGGACCAAGGACCAAGGACCAAGGACTAGGACATCGACGGGAAGAGAGAGCAGACCAACTGGCGTGTGAAATTGACAATGCAGCTGCAAAAGAGAGGACTCACTGGACGGGGGGCAGTTGGCACCACTGGCCACTGAGAAAATACATATCGTGTGTAGCAAATCGGAAAACAAACTAACTAAAACATTACCTAATCAAAAACAGTAATATAATATAGTTCCATAAATATTTACTTTTATATTTAACCTGCACGTTTTTCATGAGTATTATTTATTTTTATACCCGTTACTCGTAGATTAAGAAAGTAAAGATTTTTTGGTGTAATTAAAAATTAATTTTTTTGATCAATACCTCCCTACATTCATAACAATCGCAATATTATTTAAAGAGTAATGAATTACATAGTTAATAATTAAAAAATGCCTTGCATGGTCAGTAGTACAGCTCCCCTACGCTAGGTGCCGAATGATATGCCATGGAATTCTATTTTAATATTGAAAGTTTAAAGTTGATTAGCTGAGTAACGGGTATCCGATAGTCGAGTCGCTCGAGCATAGTGTTATATCTTGATTTTAGTATTTATACCCGTTACTCGTAGAGTAAAAGGGTATACTAGATTCGTCGGAAAGTATGTAACAGGCAGAAGGAAGCGTTTCCGACCCCATAAAGTATATATATTCTTGATCAGGATCACTAGCCGAGTCGATCTAGCCATGTCCGTCTGTCCGTCTGTCCGTCTGTCCGTCTGTCCGTCTGTCCGGATGAACGCTGAGATCTCGGAAACTATGGGAGCTAGGCTATTGAGATTTGGCGTGCAGATTCCTGAGCTTCCTACGCAGCGCAAGTTTGTTTCAGTAGACTGCCACGCCCACTCTAACGCCCACAAACCGCCCAAAACTGTGTCTCCTATAGTTTTGATGCTAGATAGAAAATTTTAACTGAAATGTAATGTTCTCATCAATACCTATCGATTGACCCAAAAAAAAATTTGCCACGCCCACTTTAACGCCCACAAACCGCAAAACCCTGTGACGCCCACAATTTTCATGCTAGATAAAAAATTTTTACTGAAATGTATTGGTCTCGTCAATACCTATCGATTGATCCAAAAAAAAATTTGCCACGCCCACTTTAACGCCCATAACGCTTAAATCTGTATACCGCCGGTAGGTGGCGCATTTTAATCTCGCTTTGCTGCTTGCATATCTCCATTTAGCTGAGTAACGGGTATCTGATAGTCGAGGTACTCGACTATAGCGTTCTCCCTTGTTTTTTTTTAAAGCATTACGAAGTATATCTAATTAATTTTCCACCTGTAAATGTCACATATATATCGAAGCTATAAAAAGGGATTGGGCTCTCATATTGGAGCAATAATGAAGTTACATCTACTGCCACTTTTGGTTTTGGTCCTCCTTAGCCTGGCTGAAGGAAGACGAAAGAAGAGGGAAATCGAAATTTGGGTACGACCAGATCAGCCACCAGATAGCTGTCCATATGGAAACTGTCCTTATGGACAAACTTAAACTGTTCTACGGCCTGTTTTAAAAAACAATTTTAAATATTGTCGATTTCATTGAAATTGTTTCGATGAAACAATAAAAGTACTGCTGGCCATTGCTTTATTTAATTATTTAGAAATATTTACGGTGAGCAAGTGTTAATTTAACGTTTATAAAATCTATAAAACTTCTTTAAGTTAGATGACTTGTGCTTGGTGAGCATTGTTTGAGATATATATTCTTTTATGGATTCCAAGATCTCAGCGGTCATACGGACGGACAGACAGACGGACATGGCTAGTTCGACTCAGCCAGCGATCCTAATCAGAAATATATGTTCTTTATAGAGTCCAGAAACGCTTTCTTCTCCTTGTTACATACTTCATGGCAGATCTAGTACACCCTTTTGCTCTACGAGTAGCGAAGATAATATTGAAATTACTGTAAATAGCTATGAATGCACATATTGTTTTTACATTTACATAAGCGACCTTAAAACCTTAACTTAATTATTTACAGTAGGACTTACATGCATTTTTAATGTTTTCGTGACACATCACAAAATATTAGATATACCAATTTGAGATTTTTTAAGCCCTTCTTGCAGTGTAGGGAAAATATTTTTGCACGCGACAAACGACCAACGTGCGAGATTAAGAGCCAGGCCCGCCTGACACCCACCGACGACCGGAGGACCGGCCTTCCTTCATGAAAACGTCCTGTCCGCCGACCCCTGACTACGTGTCCCATTGATTGACTGGACTGGCACACACACCTGCACACATTAACGGCTGACATTTTTGCATAAAACTGAGCTGGGAAATTGAAGCAAATAAAACTTATTTAGGTTGCAGCAACGGACAGACCAGTGATTTTCAATATTTGCAGCGGGCTTACCCGTTGGAGGACCGGGTGCCATAACAGGTGTTGATATGTTTATAGACTGCCTAATGGGCGGGATTGGGGGGAATGGGCCGTGAATGGTCTCGATGTGCGTGCAATTTGCACAAATTGCAGACAGACCACCGCATCGAGGATGCGAGACAAGTTTGTGGTGGGATTTGCCTGGTTATCAATTAAACAATTAGCGGACCATTATTTGAGTAGACGCAGAGGCGAGAGCTCTGCCCCCGAAAATCACATCTCCCACTCGAATAAACATTTCTCACCCATCGCGATTGTATTTCCCCGACTGTCATTTACCGTTGGCTCTCGGGTGGAAAACCTCTGGAGCCCCTGATTGCCACGCCCACAAGATGCAATCAAGCTCTTGCCTCGAAGTATCTCAAAGATGCACCTCTTTTTAGTAGTGATGGGAAGCTTACAAGTAATCTTAAACTTTGTTGCAAAGGTACTACGCCATGTATAGTTTCTTTTAGGATCAAATGATTACTATTATGTTTTAGGATAGTATATATTTTATATAAAAATATTTCTCTATTTATTTTGCAGTGAAGAACATATGATTTTATTATTTTACAAAGGACATGCTTAACCACTTAACTTTAGTAAGTAGTTTGTACCAAAAGAAAATAATACTTCCCATCTCTAAGCTGAGGTCCAAACACGTCAGCCCAAATTACAAGGGATCCCGGCAGAGAAGTGGAGACGATGCGCGGTTTTTAAATTAAAAACTAAAATCGATTGACATTCAATTTGAGCAGGCAGCTCCCCGACTAAAGTCAGCTCTCCCCAGCCCGATGTCGTATCTCAAGTCAACATTTGTCGCTATAAATTTGCCAGTGCCCAAGTTTTGCACATTTCCTTGACTCTGCCACGGATGCTGGTTGTTGGATGCGGAGATGGAGATGGAGCTGGTGGATGCCAAGAAGCCGAGTTGCGATGCAATGCGTGTGCGTGCGTAAGATACTCGGAGACAGATGGGAGCTGTGAGATGGAAACTGGGAGTGCTTCTGGCTCGGATGGTGTTTCCTTCCTAGCGACAACCTTGGCAGCTGATATAGCTAAGGCAGCCAGAGGCGACATTCAATACTCGCTGACATGTGCGCCACTCGATTGGGATAGAGGGCAGAAGCCTGGCATCCCAGTGATCACAGTGACTGGTGTTAATTACTCACTAAAATAAATACAAAATAAAACTTTTTAAAAAGAGATGATGCAATAAAGGCTGGGGAACACTTTCTATGAATAAGAAAATCTTAAATGTTATACTAAATTTCCTATCAAGAGTTTTGTGATTTTAAATATTTTGAAAATGTTGATAATCTGAATACTTAGAAGGTAAAAACGTAACACCATTAATTATGGCTTAAAGCCAAATTAATGACATTTCACAACAACCAAGAAACACCGACACTGTGACTGTCATCATACTGCTATTTGCAGCCATCACTCGAGTTGCGTTCCTCGACGCAGGTTCAACTTCGACTTCAACTTTGGCTCCGCTGCCGTATCTATGTATCTGAATCTGTATCTGCGCGCTTCGGTATCCGCATCCACATCCACACACTAGACGTATCTGCTGCCATGTGGCTTTCCGCGTTTGCGTGCAAATTTTGTGACACTTCACCCACGGGAGCGTTTTTTGCAACTTTGGCAGCTGAGCGCCGATCTGAAATCCCGTCTGCTTTCCACACTGCTCCTTCGCTTTATTAATCCTTGCTGACGCTGACAAAGTAGGACAGATACACTGGAAAAAAAGGGTTTAAATTAGGATTTTTGTTTGTTTTTCCTTTTAACATTCCATTAAAAATAATCGCTTTTAGAATTTTGAGTAGTTGTGGATACTTTTTAAAATAGTTAGTTCATCTTACTAAACGAATTCTAAGGTTTACTTTTAATTTTTATTTTATTTTATTACAAAAAAATTTTTAGCAACAAAATTTAATAGCTTCGCTCATTGCGAGAATAAATCATAGTTTATAACTGATTCCACAAGGTATTTATTTATTTATTTTTTAAATGCTATGCACTTCCAAAAAAATGTTTAAAAAATCAAAATGAAATAGCTTGGCTTATAGTTTAAAACTGATTCAACATAGAATTTCAGTAAAAAATTGTAGTTTTTGAACGAATACCTTCTATATAGATGAAAAGCCAGATCTGTGTAATTCTTTCAGGAAATTGCTCATTTAATTTCCAGCACCACAGCTAGTCAACCCTTCATTAAATGCCACTCCCACCAGTTTTTCAGAATGCGGAGGCGGCTGCACCGATGGCGTGTGCATAATTTGCGGGTCCGAGCGGAGAGAAGAAAGCCTGATGAGCTGAAGAGTTGATGCAACAAGTTGCAGCCGCTTTTAATTGATATTAATTTAATTGACACTCCAGTTGAGTTGTGAACTCGAGTGGCGTTTTGGGCTCGTTCTGGTTCTGGTTCTGCTCGAACTTACCCACGGTCCTCCTCCTTTTTCCTCCGACTAATCGCGTGGGCTTAGCCCGACTTGTCAGCCGGCAAAGTGGCGGCTTCAATGAGCTTGCCTGTAAACAGAGTTCTTTGGCGGGGGAAAGGGGGTCTGGAGTGCATTTTATGAGTTTCCATTTAAGTTCAATTAGGTTTGCACTCGCGATTAGCATAATGAGCGAGTGCCGTGAAAGAGTTGCAAGGGCCCCTCAAGTATTCATGCAAAAGCCGTAAGCGAGTAGATGGTAGGGTCTTGGATCCTATAAGGGGTATGAAAATACCGACATAATAATGTTAGTAACCGAAAAATTCCTAAACTGTTTCCAAATACAAAATACATTCCATGAATATCTCCGAAGTAATCTTTGCAGTTGTGACAAATTAACTATCTTCACTTTTGAAGATGTACGGCATTGGTCTTTTTTTATTCAGTAACAAAATACTTTTATCATTTAGCCTTTACTAAAGTAGACAACCAAACGGATATGTTTTCGAAGAACATTTTATTGGGTTTAATATATTATTGGAATAGTCTTTAAAATATTGTAGATTGTAGCCCAACCAGGAATCCAATATATTTGCATTCAATACGATCCAAATCACAACGGTTCCGGGGACTACAGCCTGCATTTGTGGTCCTCTGTTGGTATCGTGCCTTCATGCTATCACCATCATCATCATCTTCATCATCCTGGTGCCCAGACGGTCTAATCGCTCATTAAACGGCCACAATTTGCCCGGTCGGCGTTGCATTTAAATTACTTTCCCACTGACTTGGCCAGGGGAATTGGCTGAAATTTGTTTATGAGGGCCAGCGCAGACCTTTTAACTAAAACTAAAGCTCATAACTCTGGCCATCCGACTTTGGCTCTGTCTAGTCCGTTGGACAATCGAGTCGCGTGAATTTCAGCAATCAGCCAAGCTTCGAAGTCTAAAAACTCTAGCTTTTCTCCCCGAAACCGCCTTGGTTCCTCTTTGTTGTCGTCGCATTCATCAAAAAACGCTAAAGTCGTGCAGTTCGGTTTCCAAATCTATGCCCCACCCGCATCCTCAAGTTCTGCAGTTTTCCCCAGCCCCTTTCCCTATTGCAATTGGCATGCCGCGCTTAAGTTTTCCGAGTTTTTCCTTAGAATTTTCCATGCTCTTTAAGGGGAAAGAAAAGCCAAGCTGACCGACGTGATATTATAAATTAAGCTTTGTCCCGGCTCGCCTCCTCTTCCTTGTCCACCCATGGGAAACTCCACTCTGCCTATTTAGACTTTCTCTAAACTTCAAGAATCAACAGAACCACCGTCTGAGTTATTTTCTTTAACTTGTATAGATTAGCCATAACTTTTATATCTAACGGTCAGGCACTGATATTTTAGCACCATTTGCACCAAATATAATGTTTAAAAGTATCAAAAAAATAAATAAATTATGTTCAAATAAAAAATATGTAAACATAAAAAAGGTGAAATATCTAATGTGGGATCGCTCTTCCAAATATTTACTCTCGCGGGTTTTACTACAACATCTTTTCTTTATGTCAAAAATTACCCACTAATAAACAGTCGAGTTCCAGACCAATAATTGTATCTTTCTGATGTTCTGCTTGGTTGCTGATTAAAATGTATGAATTCAATCGATTGAGATAGTCAAAAATAAGTACATATCAGAACAAACCTCTTTATAATACCATTTGCCGGCTGACTCACATTCCCATTCCACTACCCTGGCACTTCAAAAGGAATTTCAAATATTTATTAACGCCCTGCTCAGGGG